TCTTTCCCATAATCTCTGTATCATGCCCAAAGATCTGCAACTCCCCACTATTAGTGACATTTTCTGTCTTAAGACCTACCATGGCTTTGAAGAGTTTGGAAGCATGACTAGCAACACTGTGGTGGTCTCAGGAAGCAGCAAAGGTGATGGACTTCCCAAGCCAGATACAATAGATGCCTTCATTAATTCTCCTATTCCCTTTGTATGAAAAATTGATCCCAAAAAAACCGAAACAACAATCTGTAGCAAGGCATTCATTAAGAGGTCTCCAGCTTTGTTATCAGAAACAGTGGCTGCTCATTCCCTATTTATAGTTCTGAGGTGGTACCTCCGCTGTCCCATCCGGAGAAGAGCTGGTTCTCACCCAGGAAATGTTCCTCCCCTCCCAAAACCAACCAAGATTGCAAAAGAAACCGGCAAGACAGCCCAGACAATGACAGCAGACACTGCCTATTCTCTTGTAAACAATGGTACACTGTGAACCCTGGCGCGTATTTCCAGCCACGTATTTTAGCAAGCTGCTGTTACAAAGGAGCACAAAAGGTGAGGGATAATACAATGCTAGATAATACAAGAAGAAAGCTAGCGAAGGCACTTTCTCCTCCTGCCCTCTCTCTGTTATTTCAGTTATCCAATGGATGAGATTAGGCGTTTGATCCTCATCAGAGAAAGCTAAAAGTCAATCCTATATTTTCAGATTTCCTTTGCAACCACCCCACCAGGCACACTTTATCAAGAGGAGTTCATGGGCAATAGGGTTAGCACTCCTTGTTGTGCTCCTTTCAAGATCCCTTCTCCTTCTCTGCAACCAGGAGAAAGCACGTGTCCCCTCTCACAGACGTTACAGATATTTCTGTGGTGCTCATCAGAGCATCTAAGCTCAGATCAGCAGCTCCTATTTTAAGGCTTTAATAGCCCACAAAGGAAAGCAGAGTGTGCCTGGGGTACGAAAAAACTCAAAATCTGGTCATGCAAATGGGTGTAAATCAGGAAGATGCCATACAAGAAACCAATGAAACAGCAGTGATTTGTAACAGGGACGTCTCTCCCCACCACAGGCACTAACAAGAATTTGGGGAATGAGAAGGCTCTTGTAGCTATGCAGGCCTATTTCTTAACATGCATTAGCCAACAAGGTCAGAGGCTATTTTGAAGACAACTCCCAAGACGTAAGACAGGTATAAAGCAAAGACAACTGCAGATTAATTGCTAGGAGCTGGAGATTAGGAGATTATCAGATTGAAGAGTCTCAGGTGGAAGTGAGCAAAAATAGCACGAGCCCCGTGAAGATGCAAAGCAGTGACGCAGGACAGAGTACAAGACCTCAAGGGGAAGGCAGGGCAAGTTTCAAGCAGTATTGATATGCCCACTTAGACAACCGGAGTTCAATTAAAGAAAAAACTAAACCATTTCCTCTGCCCTCTGCCTCAGCAGTTCAAGTCCCGTAAAAAGAGGGGCAGAGAAACAAGCTAAACCAGCCAGGATCCACTCCATTTCTAAAGCCATGGGTTTTGGATAAGCAAAGACAGTGGGGGTAAACACGGAGGGAGGCACCTGCAGCCCTCCCGCCTTGCTCAGTAATTAGGCTGCTGTGAATGACCCAGAGGAAAAATCTCACACCGGGAGGATCCCACCGGAGCTCTTCTGCAGCAGCACATTTACTGACCATCATTGTGAATGAAGCAGAGGGGAGCATCCCAGCAGGCTCCGAGCCGGGGCATTTGCAAAGGTCCCCACAGCCTGTAAGGTGTACCCACCTGGCAGCGTGCCCTGCCACACTATGCACCGAGTCCTATCGCACAGCTCACCAGGCTCTGCTTTTTGTGGCAGCCTGCTCATCTTTTTTTTTTTAGCTAGAGCTTTCCAGACTTCACTGTCTCACAATTAATTTGATCACAGCCCTCCAGACCTTGTTAAGGAAGGATGGAGCTGCTCTTCCCCCATCCTCAAGGCATCCAAACACTCTTTCCC